CGGTTTCAGCGACCCCCTCACCGGCAATACCACCGAGCTCAAGAGCCAAGTTTGCGCAGATGGGCGTCGCGGGTGTTGGAGCGACACCGAGCAGTTTAATAATGCCTGGTCAAACGCGGTCCTACTGCGACCCAGGCGACGCCGCTTGCAGGTTGCCCACGCTGTGGTCCGGCGGTGACGCAAGGAGGGCCGGTGGCCAGGCGCACTCACAGGTCACCCCCAGGCGCCGTTAGCGCGCTGACTGGCGAGATCTACTTCCTCTGACTCCCCTGCCTGGGGGAGTTACCAATGAAGCTGCTTCCATTGTTCAGTCTTGACTACCACGATCGAGCGAACACGTTAAATTGACTTTCGTTCGCGCCGAATTCAATAGCGCACGTAGTTGCAAAGCTGACCTGGACTGCCGGGCTCTCTTGACCGTTACCCCGGTGGGTGACGTTGATGTTTTCACCGTCGCGGTCACCAATATTGCATGCAGTACCTGACGGCCAGTGCTGGCCGAAGGGGGTGATGGTGCTGTTGTGGAAAACACAGGACACAATGTTTCATGCATGAGTCCTTCACTGTTTGGCTCAAGTGTTTGATCAGAGGAGTTGTCGCCCCCTTTTGGTCCACACGTAGGGACATCGTCCTGTCGCATCCACTTCTTCTGGTATTGATTGCAGGAGGGACGGAGGAGGATGAGGACGCAGGAAGGAGGAGAAGGCAGGAAGGAGGAGCAGGAGACAGGAGTCAGGAGGAGCAGCAGGAGGAGCAGGAGGAACAGCATCTTCCCTCGTCGTTGCCCTTCTCCGCTCTCGCCGCTGAGGAGCGCGCGCGCGCTCTTCGTCGAACTGTGCGCTCTTCCGCGTTGTCCTCTCAGGGCCATCCGCCCTCCTCCCCCCTGTCAGCACCGTCAGACCTACGGCTGGGAAGTTTTGCTTAGCGTGTCGCTCCGCTGGTTCTGGCCAACCACACTTCGGCACGACACGCCATCCACGTCCCAGTCCCCAGGCGCGGAACGGAACGGTACGCCATCCGCTCGCAAAGCATGTGGTATCGCCCGGGCCGCCACCAGGACACGCGAAGTAACAGTTCCTGACCGTGCCCCATCCCCACTGGCCCGGAAGGGAAGAAGAGGCATGAGAGAGGAGGAGGAGGAGGACCAACGTAAACCCAAGAACCATCAACAATCTTGGAATACACCCTCCCTCCAAGCCCTCTCTTCATAGGCCCCTACAACGGTTCATTCAATTTTTTTCTGATCTGCTTCGTTGGATCACAACCGTTTGAAGATTCGGAAGCATGCCGAAATATTGTTTTCGGGATCCCAACGCCACGGATCAACCTGACTGTTGCGTATTGACGATCCTGGATCGTGCCATAACGCCATTCTTGGGATTTCAACACGGCGAATCGACGTAACTGTTGTATCCGCAAAATGCTGAGTCCGTGCCAAACACCATTTCTGGTACGTTGATCGTGGGAATCCGCGAAGCTCTTGCACATAGTATGAACGAATGCGCGCGGCGCTGAGGCCAGAACCACATTTTGAAAAGACACCGCCCTCAATCCGTGAAGCTCTTGCAATTGTTTAAAACGAATGCGCGCGGCGTTGTGGCGAGAGCCACATTTTGAAACCGGCGGAGGTCGGAGGAGGAACAGGAGGAGCAGCAGGAGGAGAGGGAGGAGGACGGGTCGCTTAAGCCCTTCGGAGAAACCCTCCACGATGGCAAGCTCGCGTTGCGGAAAGGCTGCCGCAGCAATTCGACGACGCCATCAAAGAGTGCCACTACGAGTCCTCGACGCGGCCAAGAAGATGAGCCCAAAGGAGCTGTTCGATGTGCTCCCATTGTCTTCCCCGATGACGCACAATATCGAACGCTGCGACCTCATCGCGAGGTACCCAGTAGACCAATGGGGGGGGCAACGGTAAGAAGGCCTTCGCAGTGCAAAGCTGGTTCGAGCTAGCGCTGAAGATCGCGAAGAGTGACGAGGAGAACCTCCACAGGGTAATGAAAGTCGCCATCAATGAGATGAAGAACGAGGACAACATGGACCCAGAGGACGTGAAAAGGCTGAAGGAGCGGCAGAAGCTACAGGACAGCACCCAGAATGTGTTGGATGGCACCGAGGCCTTCGCGGAGACGCTCGGCTACCCCAAGTCGGAGGAGACGACGGCGGCCAGCTCAAGCGGCCACCAGTGAGCGCACCTTTTGGAGCCTGCAGATTGCCAAGAGAAAGCATGAACGATTGGGTTGTTCTCTGGGCCTGTTCGCCATTCTCGCTATAGGTCTGTGCATATCCAGCCGCCGTAGTCCGCAGAGTCTCGCGCAGAAGCCTCGCTAAATCAGCGAGGTGTTTCGGAGTGCTGATCTAGGCAAGGGGTGAATTGCCCGTGCCCACAGGCAGTCAGGAAAAGCGTTAGCGGGGTTTTCGGACTGCTACTCATGGCAGACTACATGGGCACTACAGTACGCCTGCACCGCTATCGACATGGGAAGTATTTGTTGGAGTACCACCAGGTACACAAATAAAGGGTGCGGGGGGGGAAACAAAGGATCAGCATGATGCCAGCCAGTGAGATTCTCATCGACCCTACCTCTGACCGTGACTTCCAGTATGCTCTACCTCACACACTCCGAGGGGGAAACTGAGCTACCTCACGGGGTACCAGAGTACAGATGTGACATCACATCGAGCATCTCCCGGAACGACCGAGAAGTGAGCTGACTGGAAGAGGGGAACACGGAATTCAAACTGTAGAAGTAGGAACCCCCCGGCAACAGTTTGGGGTCTCGGGCCTTTTGTCTCTCCCCTCCCTCCTCTTTTTGAGGTCGCCCCCCTTTGGTTCGGGCGCCCTGTTGAGCCCGCGCGCCCCCTCCCCTAGGGCACGCGGAAAAGTCAGCAGTTGCCCCCCCCCCGCACTGACCCGATGGGACTCGCGATGTAAAGCAGCGGGCTTCTCCTACGGGGCCACTCCGGAGTTCGGTCCTTGAGCTACTGAGCATGCCCCCTGCCGGCCCGAGTGAGGAAGCAGGGCTGTAGCACAACCAAGCGCGGGGGATTTTGGCAATAGCGCGTATACATCACCCGCGTTGGTGCTCTGACGTTATTTCTGCATGCGGATGTCCTTGTCATTGTCCTCCTCCTCCTCCTCCTCCTCCCCCTCCTCCTCCTCCTCCTCCCCCTCCTCCTCTCCTCCTCCATCCTCCTCTCCCTCCCCCTCCTCCTCCTCCTCTTCCTCCTTCTCCTCCTTCTCCACCTCCTCCTCGGGTCGCCTACGGCTCCGAGGGGAACCGCACACCCCATCCCCCCTCGAGGTGGGGAGGCACGCCATTCGAAATCCGACGGTAAGGGCATCGTTTGAATGATGGTTTGTGAGCGTTTCTTAGTTCATTATGTTGCCGATCGGCGCGGGCCCGCGCACCCCCCCCCTTCCCCTTCCACCCGTGGGCCGTGGGGTAGATCTTGGCTGTTGTTGAAGCCTGTTTCGAGCAGGCGGAGTGTCCCCCATAGGACGCATGGTCCCAAACAGCCGCATTAAGCAGAGGTCCGGAGCCAGACCCCCCCCCCTTCCGCCCAATGTCGAAACGCCGATTTCTTCGTACATTTAGTAGTGGGGAGCAGGTGGCATACGTAGGCATCTGCTTCCATTGGAGCGCAGTACAGTACGGAGAGGGCATCTGTCCCCGACTGGGGGGGGGCAGTCGGACATCGAGGCCACGGCCTTCCCGGTGGGGATGCAGTCGGGAACTGTTGGATCGGGTGTCTGTCCGCTGGTTCTTGCCCACCTCTCTTCGGTGCGACTCGCTATCCACTTCGCGGTCCCCAGGAGTCCACGTCTCGAGCGGTCCCAACCTCCCGCCCCGCGGGGCGGAGCGACACGCTATCCGCTCGCAGGGCATAGCGTGTCGCCGGAGCCGCCGTGGCGACACGCTATCCAACAATTCGTGACCGTAGGGGATAGGTCTCACGATCATTATTCTCCGCCACGTGTTCCTCTTCCATATCCTTTTTTATTATTCGTGCTAACAGTTATGAGTAGTACGGCCCTTACTCCCACGAACACGGGTAGTATCATCATTGGCTGCGCGACCCATTCCCCCAAGTTCTGTCAAACATTTCCCCTGGCTCCACCCTATCCCCCCCTGCCTCCCGTCCCTTCCCTCCAAAAAGCTTGGCAGCCGTACAGCTTTTCGTCATCGTCGTTTTCGTCGTTTTCCTCCTCCGGATCTTAATCACATCATCAACAGCAGCACCATCGCATCATCATCATCGTCATCATCATCATCATCATCATCATCATCATCATCATCATCATCATCAGCATCAGCATCAGCATCAGCATCAGCACAGCATCCTGACTGACACCACCAACATCATCCTCACAGCATCGTGCCATCATCATCCCCGTCATCGGCAACCTCATCATCATCATCATCATCATCATCATCATCATCAGCAGCAGCAGCAGCAGGAGCGACATCATCATCAGCAGCAGCATCGCAAAACAACACCATTGATCAGCATCATCATCACCATCGTCATCATCATCAACATCATCATCAGCATCATCAGCATCAGTATCATCGTCATCGTCATCGTCATCATTATCAGCATCATCAACACCATCATCATCATCATCAGCAGCAGCAGCATCACCATCACCATCAGCAGCGTCATCATCGCGCCATCGACATCATCATCACCATCAGCATCGCCATCATCACCATAATCATTGTCATCGTCGCCATCATCAGCATCATAATCATCAGCAACTGTCAGTATCATCATCAGCACCATCATCATTATCATCATCATCATCAACAACACCATCATCATCATCATCATCATCATCATCATCATCATCACCATCATCATCGCTGCCTTCATCATCCGGCCTGAGCTCCTCCTCCTCCTCTTCCTCCTCCTCCCCCTCCTCCTCCTCATCCTTCTCTTCCTCCTCCTCCTCCACCTCCTCCTCCTCCCCTGGCGTGAACTCCAGCCTTCTCCCGCCTTCTCCTCTTCCCGCCCCCGTCCTCGCGATCCCCCTCTCCCCCCCTAGAGATTTATGAGCCCGAGGGGCAACCCACGCACGCCGGCCCATACCAGTAGCGCGACCGCTCCCAGGCCGCTCCGCACAGACCCTTCGCTCTGGCACCCCTCGCCGCCCGGCGTACATGACGTGCTGGCAGGGCGCGGCGTGCGCAGAGGAGGCCCACGGGCCGCTCGGAGCGGCCGCAAACGGCCTGGCCCTGAAGCCGGAGGGCATCGCCAGCGAGGCACTGCCCTTCGGTCTCTGAAAGCGGGTGCTGTTTTGGGCTCCCAGGTTCCAAGCTGCTTCAGGAGCCTTCCTGCTTCAGGTGTCGAGCCGAGCGGTCTTCTCTCTTTCCTTCTCTTCATGTGACTGGAGGAAACCGATCTGCGTTCAACGCTTTCCTGCTTCAAGTTCGTCCAGGGAGCTAGAAATCCGAATGCCAGCAGGTGCCCCACGGAAGTGTCTTGTCCCCCGGTGGCCCCAGGGTCCCAGAGAAGCTCTAGGACACCGTGTGAATTTCAAATGCCGACGATGAGCGTGCCCCAAGATATTATATAGCAAGATTTCTTATCTGATGTGTCTACAGTCAAAGCGCAGAGCGAGGATGAGCGACTTTCCAAGGTTACCCTGGCATCCTTGCCCTTGGGCTCGCCCTCGGCCACTTTCGCTGGCCGCGCCCCGCTCGAGAAGTGTCGACATGGCCTTCCAAGGCCCCTGCATCCTTCTCGTGCGTCCTCACGGTGGAGGCGTTTGTTAAGCAATGGTCCCAGGAGGCTCCAGACCCTGGAGGATTCCTTATCCAATGAGGGCGGTGGTGATATATTCGTGGCCGATCCACGATGGGAGTTCGACTGGCTTCCAGACCCCGGATTCCTTATCTCAGGTTTCCTTGACCAATGCCAGCACATAATATCAAGTCGGGCTTGTCCCTCTACAGGAGGAATATTCCAAAATAAGAGAAAATAGTCTGAGGACGATTTGTTGAGATTTTCTTGCTATGTTTGAATATTTCTCGACTATGTTGAATTTTGTTCTCGGAAATTTGCCTGTATGGGGACGAGGCCGACCTAAGTACGATACGCGTTGACTGTGCTGCGCATTGTAAGGATGGGCAGCCTTCCCAAGGGTAACCTTGCATCCTTGCCTCCTCGGTCCATCCCTCGCCGCTTTCGCTGGCCGCGCCCCGCTCGAAAAGCTTCGGAATGGGCGTCCAAGGCCCCCTGCACCCCTCTCGCGCATCCTTACTATACTGGCTTCACTGTACGCGCTGACTGTACTGCGCCGGCTTCTGACCGCTGGGCCGCGCCGTGCCCACCGCGCGACGCGCCAGGCCTCCGCGGGCGCGTGCGGCGGCAGCGCCGCGGACGCGTGCAGCACCCGCGCCAGGAGCCCCGAGGTGGCGCCGGAGCCCGACGCGGACGAGCCGGATTTCGGAGGGCACCAACCACCCAGACCTCCTCGTGTTGTGAAAAATGACACGACGGGAGGTTTTTCGTTATTTTCGGCCTCCGGGGGCCCTCCGGTCCTCGGGACCGTCAAAAATCGATTCAGGACGAAAAACCTGTCCTGGGGAAGGGGTCCAGACTTTGGGGGTCGACGTTGTGAAAAAGTCACGACGACGGAGGTCTGGGCATGCACCTACATCGGGGGCGGCCAAGAGGGCGGTGGTGACTAGGGGGTGGATCTCATGGCGTGGGCCATGATATCCACCTATCGGCGCGAACGAAAAGGGGAACGGAAAGAATGGGTACAACGCCCAACAGCAGTTCCTGTTCATTCTGAACAGGACTCGCTGTCCGCGCCGCCGCAGCTGTGTCCGTTTGAGACAGAAGGCCGCCTGCCCAACAGCAGCCGCTGTTGGTTTGGAGCAACATTTGTTGTTGAGCATTGTACCCATTTTTTCCGTACCCATTTCGGGCGTCCAAAACCTACATTGGGGGCGGCCAAGAGGGGGGTGATGATTTAGGGGGGGGGATATCAGGGCGTGGGCCATGATATTTTCTCAGATTTCATGGCGCCTCTTCTTATTGCATCACGTCCCTGGCCCCGCCCCTGGGCCGCGCACATGCCGCTGGCCATGATTTGCGCCCCCCGCTCTTGGACGCCCCCCACTTGGCCGACCCCGACTACACCGACCCTGACCAGGCCGATCCTGGGCCCATGATCCAGACCGTCCTGGGCCCAGGATCGGCCTGGCCAGGATCGGTGCAGGTGTATCGAGGTGTATCGTCAGCATCCTCCTAGGACTGGGCGGGCGCCGCGGACCTCCAGAGGCACTCAGGGGCAACGCACCCCAGGAGGCGTTCTAGGCGTTCGGGCATTCGAGGTTCGAAGATTTCGGGCGTTTCCCAGGGTCCTCGGCGGGATGCTCCCCAGCAGCTGCGCCTCGCCGAGGGCGTTCCCAGGGTGTCCGGATCGTCCCGAACGACCGCAAGAGGCACGAACTATGGCCCGGAAGCCAGGAGGCAACGTCAAGGGGCGATAGGCTCAAGGGGGGCGCATCGACCCCATATCGCCCATGCGTCGCCGACAGGGGCCCGACAGAGGCACTCAGGGGAAACGTTAGGTGGGGATAGGCACAGGGGGAGGTGCATCGACCCCCTATCACCCATTCATCACCGATAGGGCCCGATAGGGCAGCGTCAAGGGGGAATAGGCTCAGTTGGGGCTGCTTCGACCCCCTATCGCCGATTCATCGCCGCTAGGGGCCCGATAAAGGTACTCGGGGGCAACGTTGGGGGGATAGGCACAGCTGTGATGCATCGATCCCCTATTACCCATTCATCGCCGACAGGGGCCCGAGAGGGCCACGCCTGCGGATTCGCCACCAGTGGCCTATCGCCAATCTATTTGCGATGTATCGCCGATTCCAGATCGATGCTTCTCCCCTGAGCTGGTCCCAAGACCCCCCGGTTTCTCGTCCAGAGTCGTTTTTGATTGTCTTGAGGCCCAGCGAGGGCTCCCAGAGGTTGAAAATTGTCAAAAACCGATCGTCGATATTGGGGGTCAGGGTCCGCCCCTAACGCTCTTCCTCATGCACGAGGTCCTCTGGCGGCCGTTCGGGACGATCCGGGAACCCCCAGAACACTTTTAGCGAGATGCAGCCGCTGGGAGGCATCTCGAGGCTGGAAAGCCAACGAGAACCGACCACAATGGCCGGAAACACCAGAAACCTTGAACTCCGAAATGTCGACCCCCCCCAAAAGTTGCCCCTCAGGTACGAAGTCATGCACGTCATCGGCACTGGAGTCTACGGGACGGTCTTCGTGGCCCGGGACCGCGAGACGGACGGCAGGTCAGGGCCCCTTTTCATCGGGGATTTTCTGAGAAAGACATTGGCGCGCCTGGGAAACTGCAGCCTTGGGTCGAAACATCATCCCTTCTTCGTTCTCTCCGGGTGGAATTTTCAAAGTTCCCATCAGCAGTGCCCTGGCTCAGAGGGCCCTGCGCAGGGTGGCGATCAAGAGCCTGACGATCGACGACGCCCAGGGCGACGGCGTGCCCGCGCACGTCATCCGTGAGGCGCCGCCTTGCTGGGTGGAGCGATGGGGGGTGCGGAGGGCGGGGGCCCAGCCTGGAGCCCGCCCGGGGGGGGGGCCGGGATGGCCCAGGCATTGTCTCCGGCCAGCAGAAGGGTGGAGAAAGGGTGGAGAAAGGGGCTCGAGGTTCGACGACCCAGAGATCCAACGTATTGAAAAAATCAAGACGGAGGTTTTTCGCCCTCCTCGGCCTCTAGGGGCCCTCGCCGGGTCCCGGGACCGTCAGAAAACGACTCAGGATGAGAAACAGGTCCCGGGGAAGGGGTCGGGACCTCCAGGGACCCCGCATTGAAAAAAACACGACATCGGATCTCTGGGAGGTTCTCGGCCGTTGTCGGGGTCCTCGGCGGCTTCCCAGCCTCGGGATGCTCCCCAGCAGCTGCGCCTCGCCGAGGGCGTTCCCAGGGTGCCCGGATCGTTCCGAACGACCGCCGGAGGCACGAACTATGGCCCGAAAGCCAGGAGGCAACGTCAAGGGGCGATAGGCTCAAGGGGGGCGCATCGACCCCATATCGCCCATGCGTCGCCGACAGGGGCCCGACAGAGGCACTCAGGGGAAACGTTAGGTGGGGATAGGTACAGGGGGAGGTGCATCGACCCCCTATCACCCATTCATCACCGATGGGTCCCGATGGAGGTTCATCGCCGATAAGTCCCAATGGAGGTACACACTCAGGGGCAACGTCAGGAGGGGGGATGGCTCAGTTGGGGCTGCTTCGACCCCCTATCGCCGATAGGAGCCCGATAGAGGTACTCAGGGGCAGCGTTTGGGGGGGATAGCCCCAGCTGTGACGCATCGATCCCGCAACGCCCATTCATCGCCCAGATCGTCCCGAGCGACCGTGGTACGAGTAAGTTACGGCCCGGGAACATCTTGGCCGCGAAAGGACCCGCGGCGCCAGGAGAAAGCACCCCCTCGTCGGGGAAGCGTGTCGCCAGCTGGTGGGCTGAGGTGGCCCAGCACTGGTTCCAGCCGGCAGAAGTGGAGGAGGAAGGGGCCACTCGTCGCCACGGCTGGACGCGGCTCGAAAAACTTGTCCGTCTCGAGCTTCGACCTCGGGAGGCGCCACCTGCTGGGTGAAGGAATGGAAGTTGCGGAGGGCGCGGGAGGAGGAGGAGGTCGAGGAAGAAGAAAAGACATAAACAGAGGTTATCGGAGCTCCACGCGGATTTCTTAGGTCGGCGCTGCGGAGCCCCTAGCGGCGCCTGCAGCGCCGCCCGTGGCGCAATCCGCGAGCCAGGGAAAGGGTTCCAGCGTCGATCCAAGAAATCTGCGCGGACCTTCGGAAGTGTGGTGCGATTCGGTGGTTTGGTCGTTCACCGCGGGTGAAGGGATGGCGGGTGCGGAGGGCGGAGGCCCAGACATCCTCGCGTTGTGAAAGACACGGCAGGACATGTGTTGGCAGTGTTCGGCCTGCCGAGGCCGTCGCTGGGCCTTGCGGAGAGCAGCCTGTGATCCAGCAAGAGTTACATCGTGTATGGAGGCTGGTGCAACGCCCGAGTAATTCTAAGCAAAGGCGTGTTAGCATGTGCTTGGTAAGCTGTGCCTCTGCGCACATACCAGTCTAATCACAGTAACGCTTATGACGCGTGTTGACACTCTATATATATACAACACCGAACAGTAGCGTCGAAATGGTATTACTACCCGCCCCTTCGCTTAGTAGCTCAACGCTTGTCTTCATGTTTAGCTAATCGATCGCCTGGCTGTACCAGAGGCTTACGTAAATGTTCAGGCGGGCTCTGTTAACGTTTGTGGACATGTGAGCGCCTGCGTAAAAATTGTTAGGAGGTCTCGGGCTGCAAGCGAACTAAGGGGTTCACAAAGGGTTTTAGTAAACTTTTAGGCGGGCCTCAAAAAGCTGATGTAACTGTTTATCCCCATTCCATGACAGCCTATGCAGATTTGGTCGGCACAAACACTTACCACACACACTCATTAACCCCTTGCAAATGCGCTGGCGTTTCATCACCGCTGGTAAAACTTAGCAGAGGCCGGATCCATCCAAGTGGGGACGGCAAGAAACGGCCAGGGATGAGAAGCCAGCCATGAGAAGTAGGGTAGGAATTTTCCAGGGGCCCTGCAGTGAGGAAAACAGCTGCTCCGAGGGGTTGGAGGGCTTGCCAAACGACGAGCCGTCGCGAACCTGGTTTTTGTGGCCTGGTCCGTCAGAGGAGGGCCAGTTGTATGTTGCTCCCATCGTACTGAAGGACCACATCCCAGAAATAATCTCGAGCACCCAGAGTGTCGAAACAGTGTCGAAACAGTGTCGGGCGGGTGTCTCCCAGGGCCCGACGCGTGAAAACCCTCGAGGTTGAAGTAGGTTGGAACAGAAGGCCAGTTGGGCCAACGGTAGTTGGCCATCACGGTAGTTAGCCCCGAGCGCCACCGCGGCCCGAGTCTCCCGCCCCGCGGAGCGGAGCGACACGCTGTCCGTCTCCAGGGCGTTAAGCGTGTCGCCAGGGCCGCCGCCTCGACGCGCTGAGCAAGTGATGGGCCTGTTTTCCACCACCACCACCACCACCATAAGTTGGAGGGGGAAGCGGTCCTCCTCCTCCTCCTCTTCGTCGTCCTCCTCTTCGTCGTCCTCCTCATCCTTCTCCTCCTCCTCCTCCTCCTCCTCCTCCTCCTCCTCCTCCTTCCCCCCTCCAACTTATGGTGGTGGTGGTGGTGGTGGTGGACAACAGGCCCATCTGCAAGAGTTCCCCGCCGCAGGATGTACCAACAGAGAGAGAGCGGTTGCGAGGAGGAGGTCTCTCCAGTGGTCTTCCACGGGGTTGCGGGTTGGAGGAAGTTGGGGGCCATGGTGGTTGCCAGGGCTGAGGTGAGCTGGGGCTGGGGATCTGGTACCAGCAGGCGAGGGTCGAGCGCCCTCCACTTCCCCAGCCAGCATTTACTTTGCAACCAGATCTTTCCAGCCAGCAGATGTGGCGGCCTGGCCCCACGAGCCGGTAGATGACGGAAAGCGCGCGTAGCGTGCGATCCGTTAGTCGGAAGAAATTTGGGTATAGCCAGGACCCCAGGTAAGGGGACCCGGTTAGTAGTAGGGCCCTGGAGCCCCTAAATTGGCCAGAATCACTAAACCAGGTTTGCCGTAGCTGGTGTTTTTTCGGGTGACGGCAGTTCTGGTTAGTGGAACTGGCGAGGGGGGCGTCCCCCAGTACAAATCACTAAACCAGGTCCCACTGAACCCAGTTCTGCCAACGCCCGAGAAATTAACCAGGGGGATTATGAGGGGGTTGGCAGGTCGACCCCCAGGGATTGATTATCCACAATGGCGGTCTCTCTGGGGACATCCTCAAGAAAAACTCTACGTGTCTTTGGATCGCGCTGGGGAGGCCTCAAGACGTCACAACATAGCCCAACGAGACAGCTCTAACACGCCCTACAGCCCAGAATGGCGATTTCGCTAGGGATATCCTCACTCAAATGAGATGTTGCCGACATCTCCCTTGCCCAAAATGGCGATTTCGCCCGGGGCATCCTCACACAAATGAGATGTTGTCGACGTCAACTTAATTTTGCTCTTGCCCCAGATGGCAATTTCGCTAGGGATATCCCCAAACTAATGAGATACTGTCGGCGTCGTCGTGGTCACGGTCTTGCCCCTAATGGCGATTGCGCTTGGGAAATCTTCAACAAATGACATGTTGTCGACATCGTCTTGGTATCGCTCTTGCCCAAATTGAGATTTCGCCCGAGGCATCCTCACAAACATGGAATGTTGTCGAAATCGTCGTGGTCTCGGTCTTGCCCCCACTTGCGATTTCGCTTAGACCATCTTCAACAAATGACATGTTGTCGACATCGTCTTGGCATCGTTCTTGCCCAATTTGACGATTCGCCAGGGACATCTTCACGTAAATGAGATGTTGTCGATGTCGTCTTGGTATCGCTCCAAGACGGCTCACGGCGCTCACAAACGGACTCCAAGACGGTTCAAGAGACCCCGAAGACGGCCCGAGAGTCTCCCAAAATTGTCCAAGAGGGCCCAAAGACTTCCCGGGGATGTGACAAAGGCGAGTGGAGAGAGAGGACGCAAGAAGAGGAAACACGTCTTCTGTCCCCGTGCCAAGCAGGTCTCGCAGCCCTTGAGCTCCCCAGCCAGTAGCTATAGCGAACCTGGAGTTGAGGGGGTCAGCGGCCGATCTTGGAAGGTATCGTTGCTGCGCGACTTCGTTCACCCCAACATCGTGGAGTTGAAGGACCTGCAGGTCAATGGTCCCACCGAGTACCAGCTGATATTCGAGTACGTTCCGGACGACCTGCACCGGATCTTGAAAGGTCACCGGAGGGAGGGTACCCAGCTACTCATGGAGGAGGTCCTGCGGTATTCACAAGATCTTCTCAACGGAATCCACGCATGCCACGCGCGCATGATCATTCATCGTGACCTCAAACCGCAGAACCTCCTCATCCATCCTGTGGACGGCCTTAAGATCTGCGACTTCGGCCTGGCCCGTATCTTCTCATTCCCTGTCCAGAGCTACACCAAGGAGGTCATCACCTTGTGGTACCGAGGCCCAGAGCTGCTGCTTGGGCATCCCAGCTACGGCCCAGAGGTGGACATCTGGTCTGCGGGGTGCATCATCGCTGAGACAGCCACTGGCTACCCGATCTTCCCTGGGGACTCCGAGATCGGCACAGTCTTCAAGATCATGCAGCTACTGGGCTCCCCCACGGAGGCCACCTGGCCGGGCTTCGAGGCCAGCTTGCCGTTCTGGAGCTCCAGCTACCCGTGCTGGCCGCCCACGAACCTCCGGGCGATGAGGGACAAGCGCCCAGAGCTCGGCGATGCTGGGATGGACCTG